TGCCACCCCTCATTGCAAAGCCAGATGGGAGCAACAGACCTCCCGGGGCTGCCCCACGCCCCCACCCAGATCCGAGCGCAGTCCAGCCCTGTTCTGTCTTAGGCACTTGGTGGAAACCTCTAATACATTGCCCTGGTGAGAGGGAGTTTGGGGAGGTTATCTAAATACACCCTCTTCAGAATAAGCAAATTTCTACTTTCCATGATTGCAAAAGTTCTCTTAGGCAAGGGACTGCTTTGAAAACTGACCAGTTGGCACTCATAGAATAGGAGGCTTCTGAAGGGAGGATAGTTTCAGGATCTGCCAGATGTCAGCTCCGAGCCTAGATTCACTTTTGTCAGCTGAATGACCTTGGACAAGGTGTTTACTCTTGGTATTGATTCCCTTATCAAGAAAATGGGGATAATGAGCAGCCCTCCCAAGGTGTCCTGGCGTTGAGTGGCTCTGGGGATCTAAGTGCAGGCCTATAGCAAGCTCAAAGCCTGCAGCTACGGTCACCACCACCTCTGTCCCTGTAGCCCTCATGGGAAACAGTGGTACCACGGGACTATCAGTTGTGCTGTGGGGTGCTTCAACTTGCACACACCTGTCATCCTTCCAGGCTGTACATTCAGTTGCAGACTCGACCTCTCACATGGGTCTCAGTCTCTCAGCAAACCATGGGCCCTGCCTCTTCACCCCACAGATGAGTGGAAGCAATGTGAGTGATAACACTTTGGGTGCATGAGACTGTTTTCCCACATGATAAAGCGTCAAGTCTTCCCCACAGAGGGAGAAGGGACACCAACATGCAGATCACAATCAGTGAAAAGCAGTTTGTCCTTTAACTTGAATATCAGGAAAAAAAAAACGTGAGTTTCATTTCCTTAAAGCAACCCCAATCCACCACTCTTTTGCTGTAAAAGTTATCTTTATGAGATACAAAAGCTTTGGGAATAGTATATTCTTCTGAGACATGGTATTATCCAATTAGAACATCTCAGGGCTATATCTCGTTTCATTTTGTTTAATTTGATAACCAGTTTTTTTTTTCTTTTTTGAGACAGAGTCTCACTGTTGCCCAGGTGGAGTGCATTGGCACCATCTTAGCTCAATGCAACCTCTGCCTCCTGGGTTCAAGTGATTCTCCTGCCTCAGTCTCCCAAGTAGCTGGGATTACAGGCATGCGCCACCATACCCAGCTAATTTTTGTGTTTTTAGTAGAGACGGGGTTTCACCATGTTGTTGAGGCTGGTCTCAAACTCCTGGCCTCAAGTGATCCACCCTCCTCGGCCTCCCAAAGTGCTGGGATTACAGGTGTGAGCCACCACACCCAGACAGTTTTATTAATATATAGATTATGTAAGAAATCAAAAACCCATTTCTTAATCAATACCTGTTATGAGTCTGCTGAGATTATTAACCCAAACAGGCCATGAACTTCTTGTCAAACCTTAGCCTGGGATTTTGTTTTGCTTGAGCCTGTTTAACTGGCTGGATTTGTCTCCACTTGATCTGCTAGGACCCGGATCAACATCGAAGGCCAAGGGATTTCAGTGCCCTCATAAGAGACTTTGCGCTTTTTTTCTCTCCCCCTTTACTAAAAGTATTATCTTCCATTTCTGCAGGCAGTGGGGCCGGTTTCCAAGTAAGCAGCTCATCCTGGCTCTGCCAGTCCCGGGTTTTGAAACCTGCCTCTTTGCAGAGCTGTTTGAGAGCTTCTGAAGAATGCTTGCTTTTATCTCAAGACTCAGAGGCAAGCATTAGCTGGAACGTCTGTCTGAGACTGTTCCCCACAAAGATACTGTCACACAGATAGGTCAACTGCTATCTTCTCAAGGCACTTGCAGACTTGACACGCTTCCCCAGCCCATTCATGGACCTAGTCACTGCTGTTTGTGCTTAGAGCCCTCTCCTCTGGGTGTTTCCTTTCCCTTTTGTCCCCAGCTCTTGCATGAGCCTTACTGAGGACTCTCAGGCTGTACCAATGCTTAGTGGGAAAGTGGGCTGCAGTTAATTGGTAATGTCTGTCCTGAACACGGTATGGCTGACAGCTCCACATTCTCATCTTTGCTATCCTTAGCCTAAATTTTTTATAAGGTTATTGCCACAGTATTCACAAGATAACTGTCTTCGACATTTCCAACTTTCCTCTTTGACCAGAATGCCTCCTGGACTTGGTGAAATGAGGTCTTTTCCTTAATATGCTACCTGTTTGGATAGTTTTATTTAGAGTCAGCCTATACATGTTTCTTGTGGTCTTACAGTATCATTTACCCTTTCTGAGTTCTTGGGTGTGATACCCTACGTTGACAGGATGCAGTAATCTGAGATGGCACTCTTTGCAATGCGGTTGTATTTCTCTCTGTCCTGATGCCTCAGTGATAGTTTCAGGCAGCATCAGTGGAGTCACCATCTAATTCCCATCATCCTTTGACTCTCAGAGAGAAACTCTTAAATACCAACCATGCCCCAGTTCCCTCCCTCAGACTGTTTCTTCCTCATGTATTCCTAATTTCAATTTTATTTCTCTTTCTCTGGCCAACCCTGATATTCATTTCCTAATTAGAGATTATGAGAATTTTAATGGTGACTAAAGCCTGGCTCTTCTTGAAACTGACAAATGTTTATTTCCCATCAAAGGGAAGCCTCTGGGGTAACAGGATTAACTAGTGACTGTTATTTTCTTCACTGTTTCCTATAGTTTCCAAATTTGTCAGTCAGCATATATTACGTTTATAAGCAGGAAAAAAAAAATGTGTTTTAAAAAAAATCTAGACTAGTGGTTTTTGGTCTTTTTTTTTTTTTTTTAAGCTGCAGAACTTTGTTCAAATCTCAGAGAGAAATAAATGAAAGAGCAGCTGTTCTGGTTGAAGTGAAGCCTGTGTATGTTTCTGTTTGCATTTGTGTGTGTGTTTGTATATGTGGGTTTTTTGTGTGTGTTTGTTTCCGTGTGTGTATTTGTGAATGTGTTTGTGTTAGTGTGTTCATGAATGTGTTCATATGTATATGCATGCATATGCATGCTTGCATGTGTGTGTGTGTGTATAGTATACCTCCCTATGTTGCTGGATATTATGACTTTCTCATCCCCAGAAGGGAGCACACATCTGGACTCTCTTTGCCCATCAAATAGGAAATTGTGCCTGGCTCCAGGGCTGGCCTCTGTTATTGCAGTTAATGCCTTTCAACAAAGAGCCTGCGAGGTTTATCAGGCACCATCCGTTGGGAGTCGCTCTGCCGTTTCTGGGCAGGGACATTCCTTTCATCTGTCAGTTAACAGGCGGCACTTTCCCCCTGTATTCTCCAGGGCCTCTGCCTGCTGCGTGGCGGGGGAGGGGAGAGAGAGCATGTCACAGACAGGTCCTTTTTCAGGACAGCCTTTTCAGAACAGATGTGAAGAAGTGATTCTCTGAGATGTCCTTGGCAGGGCCTGAATCCTCCTGTTCTCCCATCCTTGTGTTTTGGATGGTCCAGGTCTCTCCCTGTATGAATGTGCTGGAGGCCTCTCCATTTCTGGAAGGACCACACCCAAACTTTCCCCAGGACTGGCTGTTCTGTGAAGGATGCTGTGGAAGAAGAAAAGTACAAGTCACAAACATGCCAGGGACATATGAGAGGCCAGAGACATTCTTTTCAGTGCTCTCTCTTCCCACTCCCTGTGTGGCCACCTGTGTGGCATCCCTTTTGTGGCAAACTGTCTTTGAGCCCAAAGGTTGAGGAGCCAGAATGGAGCCTTTTGCAACAACTAAGAAACATTTCTCTGTGAACTGTTAGCTGCTCTCTGAAATCTTTTGGGGACACAAAATTTGAGGAAGGTCTGTATTTTGTGGTGTACTGGGTGAAAACCACCACCTTAGCATGTGCACATGCCATAGCGGGGAAGTTAACATGGTTGCTAAGAGCTACAGCTTCAGGGCCAGACTTTGTGGATTTGAAACCACCTACTAGCTATGTAGCCTTGTCTAAGATACTTACACCGAATCTAAGCCTCAGTTCTTCTCTCCTTAAAAGAGAATGGTACTGGTTCCTAACTCCTGGGACCCTCAGGACTATTAATCCTGAGGATTAACTGAGGCAATGCATGTGGAATGTTTAGTAGAGTGAGAGTGTTGGCTTTGTAAGTGTTTGCTGTTCTTGTAATTATGTTTATGGTCTGGCTCACACTGCCTTCCCACCTCTCCATCTCCCTGGGAAGGTCCTCACCAAAGCTCTGAATGCTTAAGAGGGAAGAAATAAAATTTTGCCTATTTTGATAGCTTTGCTTGTTGATGGTGAGAAAATTTGTAGTGGGTGAACATAGCACTGAGATATTGAGGAACCTCCATGAGCCAAGACCAGCGGCCCCCCTGGATAGGTAAAGGATAGGGTTTGTAAACCAGAGAGTCAGTGGTGTCACCTCTGCAGGGATAGCTAGAACTTCTCTAAGTCTAGAAAGAGTTATTTATAAACTAGCCCATGAGGGTGAGCAAGATCTGTTTGTACAACTGTTTTGGCTACCATTTATTGAGGACTGACTTCTTGTAATGCCAGGCCCTACACATACATCTTCTCCTCTGGTCACACAGTCCCTGCAAAGATGCCATTACACTCATTTTTCCAGATCACGAAACTGAGGCTCATAGAAGAAATTGGCCAATGTCCCATAGCTAAAAAGTGAGACAGCTAGTCCCCAAATCTAGTTCTTTCAGACTCTAAAACCCATCTGTTTTCCATTACCCTGCATTCCCTCTCTCTTACGGTTTCCCTGAAAGTTCTATGAAGCAAAAGTTTTCCACCAATTTAGGCCTTTAGCATATGACTGTGTATTGAAAAAAGCTCCTGCTAAAACATCCCCTATTTTTCCTGCCAGAAAAAGTGTGTTTTCCAGAGGTTCCTGATGTGCAGCCATCCTGGTTCTTGCTCCCAGATGGAGAAAGACCTGACCCAGCCACAGGCTACCTCTTGGTTGGGCCACCGGTGTCCCCACTCACCCCCCGGACACTTGCTTCAGGACAGACTTGAATTCGCCATATTTGCAGGTCAACCACATAAATTGGCCTTTCCTGGAGACTGCCAGAACTTTCTCAAAACTGTAACATCCAGAGGGAGTCACCCCCACCCAGGACCGGCAAGTGGGATGTTTAAGGAACGGGCCGGCCCTGGACGAAAGACTGAGGCCATTCATCTGCTCTGGAGTTCATCCTCGGGATCTGAGAGGCACAGCCTGGAGAAGACATCTCATCAGCCATCGGCTCCCTTAAGGTGACCTGCAGCCTCCTTTGTGCCCTGGGGGCATTTGGGCTGGTGTAGAGGCTCTCTCTCAGAAGCTCTTTCTGCTATTTTAATGCGGATAGAAAGCTTTACATTCTTTGCTAATAACATCCGGGTTTTAACAGCATCTTGTTGTCCTCGCCTGTCTCTGGCATCTCTCTTTTTTCCCTCTTCTCCATCTCTAGAGAAGCCACCGGAAAATGGCATCTTGCTTTTGACTTTCTTTGTGCTGATTATTTTAGAGAACTTAGTGATCCACTTTGCAATGTCTTGTCTCCTAACATTTCAGCTTGTTTCTTAGAGAGCCCATACTTTGCTTTCTACCAGCTCTTTCATCATTTTCATTTTCTTAAATGAAAAATAAGCAAAACGGTATGATTTCTACATTGTCTTCTTCTCCTAAAGGATATTCTTCTTCCGGCCTCTCTTAATCTCTCTTCTCAGCAACTCCCTTGATCTCCTTTATCATCAATTTATTGTCAATAAAAGTGGCTTTAGGAAGCCTCCTGTTATCTGGCAGGGTTCCAGCTTTCTGACATTTACCTATGGGACCCACTTGTTATGTCATCCCTGTGTCCTTCTGGCACTCCCTCTTAGCTGGGGAGGGTCAGTCCCCAGGGTGAGAGTGGATTGGGATGGCCCATTCTCAGGCCTTTAGGGGTTTATGGTCTTGTACTTCCCCTTCGAAGACTGAGCTTTGGAGACATTTGGATCTAAAGGCAGCCATTTGATGCTGACTCTTTGGGTTTGCAGAGTAGTCATTTGAGGTTTTTAAAATATATTTTCCTCTGTGCTTTTTGCAATCATTCACTTTTCAGTAATTCAATAATATTTACAGAGGACCTACTTTGTGCCATCCCTTGTCCCTGTTATCCTGGAGCTTGTAGTCTAATGGCAAAGAAAGATGAGTTAATCAAGTAATCACACCAAAACACTTTCAATTCAGCCATGAAACTGTACAATTTCAGCCATGAAACTATGTAAAGAAGAGGCACATGGGGCTATGAAATCATGTAATGCAAAGGACCTGTGTACTCTCAGGTAAGTGGTTCTCAAAGTGTGGTCCCTGGACCGGCATCTCAACGTCCGCTGTGAACTTGTTAGAAACACAGATTCTCAGTCCCTTAACTCCAGCGCTTGGGGAGAAGGTGTCCAGCATTTGCGTTTTAACCTGTCCCCAAGAGACTGTGATGTGTGCTCAAGTCTGAGAACCTCTGCTCCAGGTGATCAAAGAAGGCTTCTCTGAAGATATTAACTTTTGGTTGATGAAGGAAAGTAGGGAATAGGGTAGGGTAGAAGTATTTCAGACAGAAAGAATGGCATGTGTAAAAGCCCTGTGGTCTCACTCCTGTAATCCCAGCACTTTGGGAGGCCGAGGCGGATGGATCACGAGATCAAGAGATCAACACCATCCTGGCCAACACAGTGAAACCCTGTCTCTACTAAAAATACAAAAAAATTAGCTGGATGTGCTGGTGCGTGCCTGTAGTCCCAGCTACTCAGGAGGCTGAGGCTGGAGAATCGCTTGAACCTGGAAGGCAGAAGTTGCAGTGAGCCGAGATCATGCTACTGCACTCTAGGCTGGTGACAGAGCAAGACTCCATCTCCAAAAAAAAAAAAAAAAAAGCAAAACAAAAAAAAAAGCCCTGTGGTGAGAACAGGGCGCTTTTGAAAACATGAGGGAGTGCCCCAAGAAGCAAGGAGAAGAGTGATACAAGGTGAGTCTGACAGGTCTGGACAGGGGCCAGGATGTACAGGTCATGGAGGCCTCATCAGGGACTGGGCAACGGGAAGCTTTTGATGTGCAGTAAACACGGGAGTGACAATATATTATTTGCTTTTATTGAAAGGATAATTCTAGCTACAGTATGGAGAAAGGATGGAAGAAGAACAAGAGTCGAGCACTAGGAGGGCCTCACTGGGGTCTTGGGGAGAATGATGGTAACTTGGACTAGGGTGGCTTCTGAGGAATGGAAAGAAGGGTGCATAATCACAAGATTCCCAGGTAAAATCCACAGGTCTTGGTTATCAATTGGAGGTGTCAGGAAGGACTGTGGTGTTTTGAGTCTACATGCAAGATGAAAGATAATGATGCCAGTTTTAGCAGTGGGAAGAGATCATGAGAAGGTCCTGTTGAGTCTGAGGTACCTCTGAGCCACCCAGGTGCAAGTATCAAGTAGATAGTGGAAGGTGTGCTGGAGCTCAGAGAAGTCAGGGCTGGAGATACACATTTGTGCATCATCAACAGCTAGGTGGCAATTCAAACTGTGGGCTGGGAGGCATCGCCTAAGGAGGAAGAATGTAATGAGAAGAAAGCTAGTAACGTTCATTGCAGAATGTCAGCGCCCATGTTTAATGGTCAAGTGGATTGTTTCCTCTAAAATAAGCTTAGAGGAAAGAGCCAAGAGAAGGAGGAAAACTAGAACCTAGAAGACCATGGTTTCACAGAGGCCGAGGGAAGAGAGTTTCCAACAGGAAGTGCCCAGCAGGGGTGAGTAGGGGGTAAGACAAGAGAAGGTGGAAGAACACCTGTTACACTAAGTGACCCAAAAGTCATTTGTGACTTTAGCAAAAGATGTTCAATGGAGGGAAGAGAGCAGAAGCTAAAATGAGGTGGATTGACACGAGAATAGCAGGTAAGAGAGTGCAGAAAGTGAGCATAGACAGCTCTTTAGAAATGGCTGTGAAGAGGAAGAGAGGGCCCTGTGGATAGGGATGTGGAGTCAGGCACATAGCTTTGGTGTGTTTGATTTTGCAGTGGGAGTGCTCCTAGCATGTTAAAGCCTAAAGACTTCGTTGAAAGGGGGAGGTTGAAAAAAGAGAAATGGGATCATCTAAGGTTACCAAGGGCCAGGATCCTTGACACAGGTAGGAGGATGCAGAGGCTTCGTGGGTCTCGTAGCTCCTGCTCTTGCCTGGACTTTTCTGAACCTCTGGGACCTGCCCACGCCCTGATCGCCTGCCCTGGAATGCCTGCTGTCCCTCCCTTTCTTGGCATCTCTCCTCCCCGCTGTCTCGCCTGCCCACAGTTCCTCTCCTGCAGCCTGCTCTGCTGTTTTCTCAGCTTTGTTCACCCACTGTTAAGTTATTAACTTGTCAGGGTCTAGACTCCCCGCTTCCTTTCCCTCTTTTGAACTCACTGCTGGCTCCCTTCCCATTTGCCGCCTCAGAAAGTCAGCATTTGGAAGGCGGAGGTTACTCTGCAGGTCAGTATTGGCAGGTACACAGGATTACAGTTAATATAATTAGTGTGAGATGTGTAAGTTTTCTTAAAGACCATGATACAACTGAAAAAGAAATAATAAACACAACTGTTATCTTGTGGAGGTAAATGGTGAACTTAAAAAATAGACTTTATCCAAAGTAGTGTCTCCAAGAAGGTTCATCTGTGAACATGTTAAGGATCGCTGGACTCTTACACGTTAATTCATGGATTCAATTATGATCAGGAATGATCCTCAGTTTTTAAAGCAAACTCAAAGAACTAGATAAGTTATTTTAACATCAGTATCGCTGTTCTGAGACATACAAACTTTATCTTAGATTTTTTTTTATTATTTTTATTTTTATTTTATTTATTTTTTTTGAGATAGTCGTGCTCTGTCCCCCAGGCTGGAGTGCAATGGCGCAATCTCGGCTCACTGCAACCTCCACCTCCCGGGTTCAAGCCATTCTCCTGCCTCCCACGTAGCTGGCACCACCACACCCAGCTAATTTTGTACTTTTAGTAGAGACGGGGTTTCACCGTGTTGGCCAGGATGGTCTCCATCTCTTGACCTCGTGATCTGCCCGCCTTGGCCTCCCAAAGTGCTGGGATTACAGGCATGAGCCACCGCACCTGCCCTGTCTTAGATTCTTTAGAGAGATTTGTAACAGTTCCTTAAAAAAGAATTGCACGGTTTCGTATTATTACCTAGAACTTTTGAAGTTATGAATTAACTTAATATGGAGGCTATATGGACTGAGACACCGATGGTTTCCTGTTTGTTGACTTACATCCTGCTGATAATTTTTTGTCTAAGGGCAAGAGTAAGTAAGAAGTAATATTTTTGAGCATCTACTTATGTCGTCCTATTTATTCCTTGCCATCCTTTGAGGTACTTATTATCCACAGTTTTACAGGTAGAGAAAGCAGGCTGAGAACCGTGTAGTAATTTCCCAAAGTTCACAGCTTTGTAGGGTGGCAGATGTGCTAAGCGCTGGTCTGCATACTGGGACACGGAGAAGCAGCAGTTGTTGAAGTCATGGTAACACTGATGATAGCAGTAGCTACCAGGCACTGAGTCCTCCATGTGTGAGGACCCTTCCTATATGTCATGTGGTTTAATCCCTATGATAGCCCTGCAGGGGCCATGATCCTCATTTTACAGAACAGGAAGCAGCCTCGAAGAGGTTAATTATTTGTCCAGTTACACAGCTTTTCAGCAAAGAGCTGATATTCAACCCAACTCCATCTGATCCTAACTTTCTGCTCTAAAGTCAACTTGTTTGTCAGGATTAGCAATAGTTCCCTGATCACAAGAACAAAGTCTGAGGCATGGTAGATGTAATTTTTTTTTCTAATGTTGAATATACAGCTGCCTCCTGGCATTCCCATTGAGCCAAAATACAGAATGTTTATTTAATTTTTATTCCTTGTGAGCCTTGGTGGGGAGGAAAGGAACATCAGATATTTCTGCAAGCTTATAAATTGTTATAGGGTACTTTCTCTTCCATCTACCAACTGCTCCTGTTAAGACCCGCCCAAGAACCCAAACTTAACTAAGAAAACATCTGAGCACATCCAGAATTAAGTATCACAAGTTGTTGAACCAACACCTTCACCATATCTACAGATGAATCCCTGACACTCACATGGAGCTGATTTACTCTGATTTGACTCATAATTCTAACAGTTTCTGTTTTCAGCTTAGTCTATAGCAACAAAATAATAGTAGAGGGCCCACTGCAGATGGGTATAGTAATACCAGAGATGAGAAGAAAGAGACCCAAAAAATGATCAGAAGCAGAAATGAGAGCCCAGAAGTGCAGCTGACCAGAAGCATTTCAGTGTCAGATCAAACGCTGCCTCCTCTGTAGCCAGATCACAGCACATCTCATCAGTTACTGGTTTTCATCATGGTGACACTGAACATTCATGGAAAGTTGGCATTGAAATATGTTGGTATCTATAATTCAGAAAGGTAGTGATGATGGGTGCAGTGGTTTTAGGGGAAAAAAAGCCAAAAAATGCATTCGTGTTTGTCTACCCTTAAAACCCAGGTGTCCAAGAACAATTCCCCAAGGTTCCGTGCATCGCTTCTCTTTGTATCCTCGAAGTGCGGTGTCTGATACAGAGGATGTGCTCACCGATGCCGGATGATGAAACGTTGAATGACTTGTGTCCTAGGGTTCTGGATAACTCTGTTTTACCGTGGATCCTGGATGTATTCCAGGATGACTTTATGAAGGCGAGAAGGGGTAAGACCCCTGAGAGCTCAGTGTTTATTCTGTTTTTACACATAGTTAGATGCGATAATACCCACCCTCCTAAAAAAAAAAAAAAAAAATTCAATTTTTTGTTTTGCCAACTTTCCTTGAATGTTCAGTGTCACCATGATGAAAACCATGGTAGTTACTCTTATCATTACCATCATCTTTGTCAGCACTGACCAAGGTTGCTCACTGAGGAAGATGTGAAAAAGAAGTTGGGATCTTCCTCTCCTGGGACACATTTGAAACCCAGTAGCTGGAAGCGGGCCGAAGCTATGTAACCAGCTCTCATCCACATGGGCAGGGGTCCCAGGAGTTCTCTGTGGGCTTACGGGCTGCCCAGCCCCTTGACAACCCCAGTTATTAAAGATTGAGCCCTGAATAAATCAGTGCGGCTCTCCATGAGAGACAGCTGCCTTCCAGAGAGTTCCATGTAGCCGGAAGATACGCACGCATGGAGGGTTCTGGGCAGCCCGAGGCCGGCCCCGTGGGCTGCTCAGAGCACCTGGTCTGCCTTCCCAGCACAGGGCTGATTGTTTTACAGGTCACAGCCATTTTGAAAAGGCAGACTCACTGACCTGTTTAATGAGTGCAGTTTCTGCACGAAAGCCCATATCCCTCTCCCAGGCAGCCCCAGAACTTTGCTGGGGAAGGGGGCCAAATCTCCTCTCAATGCCTGAGGATTTCTGGCCTTAACTGCTGGTGGAATTAGCAGGAGTTATCTATAAATCCCTGAGGCATCCATCAGCCGACTGAGCGAGGCTGCCTTTTTAAAGAAGTTCACTGACCTCTTGTTAACTTAACTCCTTGTTAGGAAATATCTAATCAGCTGTGAACTAACACGTCAGGGCCCGGGGGTCTGCAGAAGCCCGGCTCACTGTGGGCTGGGTTTCCAGCTGTGTGCAGTCTGGTGTCTGAGCTGTTGTGTTTTCCTCTTTCAGCTATCTTTCAGATCATTCAGAGCATAAGGATGGGCATGTGAGAAGGCCAGGGATTTGACACCACCTCCCTCCCACTGGAGAGGAGAGGACCACGGAAGCGGTCAGCCAGTTTCTGCGGGAAGTAACAGGCCACACGGAATAGAAAAAATCGCTCCCCTACTTGTTCCCTGATCACTTCATCGTGGATGTCAGACCAAATTGCCTTCTCACAGGACATCTTGGTGCATCCGTGTTCTCAAGCGGAAAGGACATTTTGCTTTTCTGTTGGCAGGATTAGTAGCCACGCGGGTCGTCCGCAGCAGTGCTGTCTTTTTGGCTTTTCCCTTGGTTTCACTAATGTGTGCATGTGGCCCTCTGAACGATCACTGGTTTACTTTCTATGGATACAATCTCTCCCCCATTGAGAATTGGTTTTACAAATAAATGCCTTCGTTCAACCTTATACCATGTGTGGGTTATAGTGAGAAAACGAACGTGAAGGAAATAGCAGAATAGCTCATGGAAGGTTGGGAGGTGGAGAGACTTGGTTACGCAGTTGGAGGAGGGGCAGGGAATCTGTGGGAGGGGAACCAGAGCTAGATTTACTCAGCAGGTCCCTGGCCAGACCCTCAAGATCTTTGCCTGAATGAAGCCCTGGGCAGTTCTAATGACCTTGCATTTTCTACACATTTGATTCTTCTTCTTCTTTTTTTTTTTTTCCCAATATTTTTGTCTTGTTTGTTCTTCTCTTTTTCAGTTCAGAAAAGGCATGTGCAATGTATGCAACGGTCTGATTCGTCTTTATCTCCTCTGTAGTCTGCCTCAGAGCTTAGCACAGAGCAGACGTCCCAGGCCTCTTGGTGAGAACCATCCAACCCCAGGGCCCAGCCTCAGCCACTCCAGAGCTCTGGGTAAATCAGGAGCCTTGCAGCCCTCTGGGGGATCAGCTGGCAGAATAGGTGGGTGAGGCCCCGTCCCTGGCCAGCCTCCCCCACAGCTTCTCAAAGCATAGTGTTGCCAAAGGAAGTTACAGGGACAGCCACAGGATCATTGGTAGGATTAGAGGTGGTCACCCTGCAATATGAAGCATGCTTTTGTTTTTATTAATTTCCATCTTTGCATTAGCAATTCTTTTCATTCATTAACTTCATGAGAGCTTTAAAAAGGAAAGTGACAGACATGACCAGCGTCTCTCTAGACCACTTTACAGGTTTTGGTGTTAGTGGCACTGTTTGAATTAGGGGGCTTTTTGTTCATTGGGGTCTTTCACTTCAGACCCTTTAGTGATGTTCTTGAAGGCTTGCTTTTATCCCACCCTTTGAGCTCCCCTCCAAAAGCATCCCTTCCCCCTTCTTCCTTCTTTCTTTCCCACTAAGAAGAGAGAGTAGTCAGACTGCTCCAAAATCAGCAGCCCTGGGAACAGTTTACCACCCCGTGTTCCCTTGCCACTCCCACTCCCCAGCCCCCAGCCCCTCACAAAGTGGCAGAAGACATTTCCAGCCACTCAAGGGTGGCACACAATAGATGCCCTCCAAGCTCGTCCCCTCATCCTGTTGGCTCCGACTATCCTCTTCTAGGTCACCGAGTCAGACCAGTGTGTGGTAGGAGATCAGCCCTAAGGGATCCTGCTTGGGGCCCAGGAGCCCATACTGCCTGCCAAGAGGAGGAAAAAGAAAGGCTCCTTGCCTTCAGGTGACTGGGTCTGTGCTCCCACGTGTCTCTTTCCAACCCCCACATTGCCTACACTTGATTTGAGTGCAGACTTTCTCTTTCTCCCTTAATGCCCATAAAAGCACACCTCCCAAACCACCAATAGAGGCCATTACTGACCTGAGCTTTGTGGTTCATCCTTTATTGGACAGAATTTTTTCCCCTAATTTGGCCTTTCCCATAACAGCAATAGTCAAGAGGGTGATTATCCCCATTTCAGGGAAAGGGAAACCGAATCCTGGCCAGAGTCCGTTTCAGATAGACCCTGCTTGTCCCCAGGTGACAGGTGCAATGGGCTGGGCGTGGTGGGCTGTTGGCTGCCATCCATAAGACTGTCCAAGATTGATTTCTCTCCCCAGGCTCTGCAATCATCCACAAATTGGTTTTCTGTTAGTTTCCAGGTAGCTTCCCTGAAGTACTTGTATATGGCAGTCTACCCTCCCTGGTGACTTTTTCCATCTGTCCTCTGCAAGCAGAAATGAGAGCTGTCTTAAGGAAGTTAGGGCCATTGTTGATTTATATTGTACTGCAGAGAGGACAGCAGTTTCCCTGTGAAACCTAGTAAGAAATACACAGCAGCCCAATGCATAACGTACCCTCCAAAACAAGTTTTACAGAAAGAATTCCACTTATCCCTACCATACGTGATGCATTCTGATTTTTTTCTAGTCTATTTTTTTGAATTAAAAATTAAAAATTTCTAGTCTATTTAATGTTTTGAATTAAAAATTAATTCAAAATGGTTGCATCCTCAACAATTGATTTTAGAACCCATGAACAGATTTCAACCACAGTTGAAAAAACACTGCTCTTCAGAAGAAAATCAAGCTCTTGGCTGAGGACAGATCAGCAGGGTTCAGAAGGCAGTAAAGTCGGAACCCCACTTTTTATCCTGGTGAGAACTTAAAGTCCCATCTCAGTCACAGCCAATCAAGAGCTCCAGCGGCACAGGATAAGCGACTTCTTGCGGGATTTAAGGCACAATGGCAGATTCTGCAGGGAAAGCTGGGGGGCTAGGTGAGCCTGTGGATCCAGCACCACCTTGAATCCATAGAAAGAGTATGAAATTAATGTTCATTTATTTCATAAATAAATGTCCATGCTGGCAGGTTCAATTTGTCAGCATTCACTTACCGGGAGTCACAATCACTTAGGATGGGCGTGGGGAGTTCTTAAAAGTAGGAATCCACCCCAAGCCTGCTGAAAATCAAACTCTCACAGGAAGACATGCAGAAGTTTTACGTAAGTGTTTTTTTAAAGATGTAGACAATTCTGATGCCGCCCATCCACCAATGAACATTTGGGAACCAATTCACCACCAGACTTAGTTTAATTAAACCAAAGCAGGGACCCAGAGACAATGTCACACACCTAACCCGCGGCGTTCAACCTGATCTCTGAGAGCGTCTTTCTCCTTTGATGTTCAGAAGCATCTGGGGGCTCCTGGGGGCTCAGTGGTCATGATACACTATGTTTGCTTTTGCTCCAGTTCTTGTGTGTGTCTGTGGCCCGAGACTGGAGCACAGGATGCTTACTACTTGACTTGACTTTTGAGGCTCTCTAGAGGAGAAGAATCGTGCCTTATGGGAAGGCTAAGGTCTTTTTCTAGGTCCCCTGCCCCCGGGACATCATCACAGGTCAAACACTGTTTCTGGGAAGACCAGTGCCCCTTGAAGGTGCTCCCTGCTTCGGAAGTGCCTAAACACAAGAAACATGCCCTCAGACGTGGGGGCTGCACTTTGTTATAAGATAGTTCTCATCCTATCCAGACACAAGAACGTTCTAACAGAATATCCCTGCAGTTCTTCCACAATTGTTCCCCAGAGCTTTGGAGGCAGAATGTCATCTGGGTGATGTCCTTTATCCTACAGCCATCATCAGGCTTCAGCTGCAAGCTGTGAACATGTATTAATCGCTCTTAGCAGCAGGTCCCTTTCTTTGAGAAATCTTCAGGTCCTGAGGCTTCCATCTGCCAGCCATGGGCCATGACTTTCTCTCCAGGGGTCAGCAAACTTTATCTGTAAAGGGCCAGTAAATATTTTGGGCTTTGCAGGCCATATGGTCTCGAGACTGTTCAATTCTGCTGTTGTAGCTTGAAAGCAGCCATTGACAATATGTAAATGAATGAGCATGGCTGTTACCCAGTAAAACTCGATTTAAAATACAGGTGAGGCCAGGTGTGGTGGCTCAGGCCTGTAATCCCAGCACTTGGGGAGGCCGAGGCAGGTGGATCGCCTGAGGTCAGGAGTTCGAGACTAGCCTGGCCAACGTGGAGAAACACGATCTCTACTAAAAATACGAAAATTAAGCTGGGCACAGCTGTGGGCACCTGTAATCCCAGTACTTTAGAAG